GTTTAATGACATCTATAGAGATTTTCTGTTGTTACCTGTTGTCTTGCCATTGTTTTTTTGTAGTTGAATAGTCCATCCATTTCTTATAGTATTTCTTTCTATTATGCCTACTAAAGTATTTTGTTAACAAGGATAAAAAAAGTAAATAACAAAAATACTTGTCATAAGAGGTATCAATCTAACATTAACTAACTGCTTGATTTCCAACAGAATCATTTATTTACTTTTCCGAGTCATAAAATGGAACATAAACGAAAAGTAGCAAGAAAATACGTAATGAAAAAACAAGAAAAATACATAAAAGTTAAATAAGATAATTGCATCTAGAATTTTGATATACACAATAATGTCCTCCTGACTCCTTGCGATAGTTTATGAAATTTTATATTCAGTTTGATATCAGAAACGAATCAAATCATCGGATGACACATTGTGAAGTGTTAATATCTTACACCATAATACAACTTATTAATCAAGAAGCAGCAAAAGTCAATATAAAATAAGAACCTGTAATACTTCTTGACTCAAGATCTTGAGTTGAGAAGTTCATAGAAGCATCTTTTTCATTTGTGGAGTCAAGAAATTTTCTTACTATACTACAATTTGAGTAAACAAACATTCGCTCATTTTGAATTTCATTTTTTGAGATGATTATATTATTTGATAGAGCTCTGTTTTCTGCTTGTTGTAAAGTATAGTTATTCTTAAATATAATAGAGGGATAAATAAACCTTAGCTGCAAAAAATGCAAACGACATTTTTACTAGGATCTCACTAAAATATCACTTTTTCTTTGATATTTCATAGAAATACGCATATCACTATTTTATTATTATAGAGAGTGTTAACTTTCTGTTAATTTTATTAACAGTTCATTCTATCGTAGGTTTATAACAGACTGTTGGTTACCAATCTCCGTTGTTGTAGTGATGTATTTCACGCATTTCATCGTATTCTAATTCACAAATCTGTTATATTAGTGTCTAGTATATATTTTTTCGGTAATATAAACGCCTACAAAGTCTCAATGGCAAAAACCATATGGTGCAATGCAACGTAAACATATATTCTTTTTTTGATATCAACGTGGAAGTGATGATGTAATCATATAAATTTATGACAGCTCAGCATGAGTCTTCGCACTCTATTTATAAATAAGATTGTTTCACTCAGCTCATTATTTATAAAAGTTTATATTAATTTTAAGAACAAAAAATGCATTCATAAGATTTTTTTAATAAAAATATGACGTCAAAAGTGATTACAGAATTTTTCAAAATTAGTGATAATCAATTTTTAGTTTCACAACTAGTTTCTACTATACATAGACAAGTGGTTATCCAACTTTATCAAATGATACTTAAAGGAATTGTTATGGTAAGTCTCACTTTTTAAATATATTCTTACGATACTGAGATAATTTAAAATGTCATCGAAAGTGTAACATTCTGTATACTATTATGACAAACGTTTGTTTCACAACAGTAGATCTCGAATTTGAATAGAATATAATGCATTTTTTAAGCCTATAGTGTATGAACATTTAGTTATTTCAATCTTTTTGATTTAATCTTTATACCTAACACCTCGAATATGATGAAAGGCCTAGAAACTTTATATCACCATTCTACTCTATATCATATTAAAATTTTTTTCTTTTTTCAATCTGAATTTTAAGGCCACATCTGTTCAAAGTTTCAAGTCTTCATATGTATGAGAAATAGTGCACGTTTTACTTTTACTCATTTGGTAAAAAATGATGACGAATAATCACGATTAAAATATCAAATCATCTTTCTTTTCTGTATTTAACCTGAAAACGAGTACAGTTTTATTCTCCATAGGATTAAAATAAAGTTTCTTTTCTTTTTTTTTTGTTAGAAAGTGACTTTTTCTATATTAGTCATATTTCCCATGAATGAATTATAATATTACGTGTAAAACAAATACATATCGATTTAGCATACTGATCAGATTTTTTTCTAGCTTAAAAGTTTATAAGTTGAAATTAAGGTTATTCTATTTTTATATTTAATTGTGACAATATCTGCTGCTTTTTTGTACCAAATTGAATTAAACTGATTTTGATATATGATAATTTCGAATATATTAATCTAAAAATGAAATGTCTGAAGCTATTTTAGGTATAATGTTTTTTAATGTATAATTTTTACATTTTTTTTTTCAAATAGAAATTCTATTAGGCAACTGTATTACACGACCGGATGCTGTCAAAAAATCGATTGCTTCTGCTTAATTTCTTTGTTTTCTACGAGGTGGAATATATTCATATCTCTGATAATCGGATTTTATATTACAAAATGCATTCACATACTGAGCATTTCATTCTTTCTGGTAATACGTATATATATGCTAGACTTAATATAAAACATATACTCAGACAGTGTGTAAATATGACTTCTCTCATAGATCATAAAAACTGTGTGTATGATTAATCAGCTCATTGAACGGTTCAATTATAATCTGATATGAGATGAAAATCTTTCTTCTTACAAATTAGTTATATAGATGGATAAAGAAAAACAGTTGAGAAAGAGAATGTTGATTTGTATACTTATCATGTAAACAATTAACAAAACAAGTGTACATCTGTGAAATGCAAAGATATTTTCTCAAACTTTTTAGTCGTTGCACATAATCAAATGTGATGATGAAATCATTGTATGGATTAGGCAAATAAAGAGTCGATTTAATGATATTGAGCAACAGAAGGATCTCTAATGTACACATAGAAACATTGATCTCTAAAGCTGATTGAAGCCTTTCATAGCAATACAACACGAACTAATGAAAGCTATAGAAAAGAAAAAAATAGGAAAGATATCTCTTGAAATCATTTTCGCTTTCATTAACGGATAGCGTCTCAAACCTGTTAAACAATGTTAATTATAGTAATAATTGAAGATTTCGATCACTCCTACCAAAATAGTCTATCTGACTTAAACGTATCAAATCTCTATACCATGACACATTTATATGAGATATGGCAGATTAAAACCGCGAGTACTAATGTTCTATTAGTACAGGATTAAAGGTAAAACAAAAAAGTGTAGAATATAAGGTGTACTTGATAAGTTTATATTAAACAAATAAACAGGTCATGCTGTCAAATATTGTGATGAATTAACTAAATGATAAGAACTGTAAACATCACTTTCAATAATTATCATGATTTGTAGGTCGCTAAAGGAAATATAGAGGATAAAAATATCATCTGTTAATATAATGAATAGTTTAAGAATGACGAAATTGAGGACAAATGACACAAAAGTATTACGTTATTAATATTATATATATTTTGTAGATGCGTAGATAGAACTGATTACATTACACTAGGATTGTATATTGTACCCTATTTCTGATGAAATGTACAAGCATGATATATCGTCATTTAGTTATTAATCACTACAAAATAAGGAAAGAAAAAATTTATTTTAAATATCTCATCCACGTGCAACCTCTGAAATTATAGTCCGCATAATGTAGAAAACAGAACAAAAGCACCGGATTTTCTTTATTTTCTCTCGTTTTTCTCTCTTTCTATTTAAAGATAGATCGGTCAAATAATAGATATACACAAAATAAACAGTACAGAACATATGCGTAAAATGTTGTTGTTCGGTGGTTATGCATACATCGATTACACTCACGTTCTTTTTTCTCTTTCCTTGCTATTTTTTCTTATCGATATAAAATGTGCATGTGACGTAGATCATAAGTAGTCTATTTTATCTATGTTTCTCTCGTTTGTCGTTTTGTGTCAGAGAGAGAGAGAGAAAGAGCGAAAAAGTAAAAAAATACTGAATATATATATATATAATAGAAGAAAACGATCTATACTCTCATTAGTTTACAACATGAAATCAATGATGGACTGAAGAAAGAAGAAAGTTTTTTTTTATCATACACAGTGTTTCAATCGCGTCATCTAAAGGCGACGACTCTCTATCCCGTCCATATCGAAACAAATTATTAAAAGTGAAGTTTATTTTATTATTCATATTGTTCATCAATATAAAAAACTTCACCACTTGTGTGTCACATCGTGTTCTATCCACTATAAACACGATTTCAACAACAAACATTAAGAACATTATTATAGTTTTTTGTGCGTTTTTTCCTAATTACGAGAAAAAATATATCTTTAAGAACCTGTGTTAAATCAAACAATCTTTTAAAGTTTTTACAATTACAAAGTGGTTTATTTCAATAACAAACGCATTTACATCAATATAAATATATTTAAACATACACACAAGCTATTATTATGATGGACGCAATATTTCAGTTTGTGAGTATCATCTCAAATATTCTTTGAACTCATTGGATAAATCTTTTTATTATTCTCCCCTACATAATCAGAACACCGTTAAAATGAGAGAACTTGTTGTTAGCAGCTGAATCTTAAGAAGTTTTGAAGAGTGAAGCAGATAAAAAAATAAAACTTTTGGTTACAATTGAAATAAAGAAATAATCTGGTTCCCGTTTTGTCCTCATTCGGCTGAAAAGACTTTTCAAAAGTCGCGTAGATTGATTACTGTAAGATTTTTTGATTATTGCGCTTACAGATTCAACAAAATGTGTTGCACCCTTCTTTCTTGAAATTCTTGTGATAATTGTTTTTACTAAACTGACGAGACGAGTTTTCTCCACTTAATGGATCCAGCAGACTATACTGTCCAAATTCGTGGTAGAGAAGTTTTGCAGGTAATTAGTAAATGATAGAGCAGTTTACCTTCTCATAGAACGTTGACAAAATGATAACATTGTATTATAGAGTCATTGAACTTTTTCTTTTGATATTTAATCACATTGTAAATTGATTATGTGACTTTTTTCTTATGAAAGATCAGTGAATGCAAGTTGACGCTTATTAACTATTTATTTGCTTTTCACTGGACTATGTGAACTGGCTTAAAACTGTTTGCCAAAAGGCATAAACCATAAAAGATAATCACTATACTGCGTTGACAACTTTCTTTGTCTTATCGTCAATTCAATGCTCTTCATCGATAGTTATTATTGAGCAATTTTTAGACTCTTTAGCAATAGTAAGTGCACAGCTTTAACTACCTCCATACCAAATCATAATTATCCTTATCGTATTTCTATCGCGTACACTAAAAGAAGAGTACACAAATAAATCTCTCTGATAAAACGATCTTTTAGTTTTTTATTTCTCGAGTATGTGTGTAAGGTATTCTATACATAAGAGAATATATATATATATATATTCATGAGAAGTTTGATTGTTATAATAAAGAAAAAAGAAAGAGACAGGTTGAACCAGCGGTCAGCTGTGGATTAAAAAGATCTGATGAACGAACGAGCATACATATACACTTTTTTCTTCTTTTCAATCAGCCCTCAGCTGTTTGTAACTCATGTAAGCATTATTCTCAAAGAGAATGAATGAATAGCAATTTTTGTATAGATTTGAGCTCATTTAGAGTTAAATGTGTGCGATAATTGACTGAATGTGACAAAAAGGGAGATAAAATTCGGAAAATTCAATATTTTGGTTGATTTATACTTGTATGTTAGTGAGACTAAATAAAAAAAGCAAACAAACGCGTTGATGTGTGTACTTATCACGTTATATAGAAAGAAAGAGAAGAAAACAAACGATGATGATCACATGAGAATAACTCGTTGTTTATCTATATCATCTACATATATATATTTATGTGCGTAAAAGATAAAAAGAATATATGTACTCAAAAAAAGGGAATGACGAAGAATAAAAAGCACAGGCCAGACTGAAGACGAGAACTCCTTGTTAACAATATTTCGATGCATCAGAATGAACTCTGAAAGCATGTGACAGATTCACAAGACTAATGACATTTTTTTTCTTCTTTTTATATATGTAATTGTCTGATTATTAGTGAACATACTATAGAAAGGAGTATCAAATAAATCAGTGGCGGCTTCAGAAATTTTTATTATTACGTGCCTTGTGTCTGTGAGAAAATTTTTTCTCAGTGACTCATGCTGATGAAAATCAGTTTTTATGCGTAAAGATACATATCGTATAAACTCACACACAGCATGACGGTTATTGATCATTCATTTAAATAGATGATTGACACTAATGTTTATGAAATAGAGGGAATGTAGTTTCATGGGCTACATGATTATTTTTGCAAAAATTTTATTGATAAGTAATGCATTTGTTCCTTCTCTTTGTTTTCTACCATCTACTTGCTAAACTGATTCTAGACTGTCACTAATATATTAAAATCTATTTATTTATCCTCGATTGTGTTTGTATTTAGAGTGAAGAAGAACTGAATCATATAGGACATGATATTGGAGGTGATTCATCGAGTAGTTCAAGAAGTCCGTTTGGTAGTAGTACTGGTGGCAATTTGGTTCGACGATCACAATTTAAACGACCATCATCACTAGATATTGTTCCAACTACCGGTATGTTCAGACATATCATTCATGTAGACGTTTGAATAGAAATTTAAAAAAGCTTTCCAAAACCATTTCGTTTAGTAGGAAAAATCTCTCAAGTAATTTAGACTTATGCGTGCTCGCTTTGCGTTTTATTTCGATTTAATTTTTTGTTACAATACATTTAAGTTCACTTAATCAAATTCATGACGTTATACACTTATTTATAAAAGGTGAAACAATAATTATTATTTATTTTGTAGAGTTGATTTTACGTGACTCAACGAATAATGAAGTATCACCGAATAGTGTGCAAAAACGACAAAAGAAAAAGAAACGTCGTACAGCAGTCTCTTATACACATACATCATTTTGTGGTAAATATATTGAATAATTCTAAGTGATCACTATATATTTGTTTTGGGTTGTTTTCTTTCTAGATAAGTACAAGTTGACTGATGATTTACTTGGCACAGGTGCACATGGAGTCGTAAAAACTTGTCGTAATAAACTTACAAATGAAGAATATGCCGTGAAGGTAAATGAAATATATTGTTTAGCATTTCTCTTGCACTGTCTTTTGACACATATGTACATTGTCAAGGTCAAAAGTGATCAGTATATTCACATCGATGTTGTGTATGTTCGCTTTTTTTACACTAAACATAGGTGAAATTTAATGGGAGAGCGATACTATCGACATAGAGTAAAAATAAAAAAACGTAGTTGTCTTATTTCAATCATTAGAATTGTGCAGTAACTGAATTATCGAATATTTTTTCTCTGAAAGAGAGAGAGAGTGAGAAGAAGTCAAATTACAAATTAATATAGATAAAAAATCTTGGGTTTTGTGGGTAATGGTCTTATATATAGATGCATGCACAAAATTTATTTATTATTAAAATAGCTGTAGGCATTTTAATTTCAACATAAACAAATCTTTTGTTCGTGGATAAAAATAGAATAAATAGGACAAAATTTGTTGTGCGTTAATACATACTTAATAATACTAGAATGTATGTACATTTTAACGTAATATGATCTTCTAGTAATGGAATTAGTTAATTAATTAACTGCTAATTAACAGTTTTCTCTCAGAAAATAATGACCAAATTAACTCTTATTTTTCTTAAATGCATGTGCATTCGTATGCCTCCGAAGATTTTTTTATGAGGTAACTGTTACTTAAGCTTACTTTTGTTAATATCAGATTATGAAGGTCGATGATACTCATATTGGTGCTATCACAGTATCTGTGGTGGTTAAAACTAAAATTCTACTTTGCCGAAACGAATTATAAATTTAGCTAGACAGAATCGAACTTTAGTAAGCACTCCTTCGTACGTGCAGTTTTTTTTATTGTAAATACAATAATAGCTTAAGTAAAAATAGTCACTCAGATGAAGAGACAACTTGGTAACGTACAAGTAAAAGAGGACGAGAAAGTTGAATTAGTGGGGAACTTAATTAATAGTTTGAAAGAAGACAGAAAACCAACCTGTCTTGTTAAACAAACATGCGCCTTCTTCTTTTCAGATAAGTATAGAATGTTTACTACGTATTCTAATATTAGCTATAGAGATTACCGAACTGTCAAGCTTTTAGTCGTTAAACTAGCTTAGATCATTGAAGTACGATCATCCTTTGATCTTTTAACAAATTTGGATAAAGTGTGAAAAGATAACGGCAATTAGCCCGAAAAGATCACGGTTACGCCGATTTTTAAATCAATAACACCGAAAAGATAATGGAATAAAAACAACCGAAAAGACTACGGAAATAAGATCGAAAAGAAAACGGTTTCGGTTTATGGATAAAAAGTACCGAAAAAAGAAAACGATGTGATCAATCAGCTTAATTACCTGCCTTCTGACGCCCTAAGGATCCAAATGCTCCTTTTTGTGCTACAAAAGCCTAGTGTTGTTTTAATAGTATTTATTTTCAAGATAATATTTTACATTCTTGAACACAGCAAACAGTATCAAAACAACATTGCCAAACTTGCTGTTTTTGGCCGACCTTTTTGTTTCTTTCCCATTGGCAAACGATCTTGTGTCAAACGACATAGACCGAAAATCATCTTGAGACCTATCAAATGTTTGCAGACGTATTGCTTGCAAAAAGTTCTGCATGAACAACGTTGATATTGAATTGAAACTACATGTGCCGATTCGTGCCACATTTTAAAATTGTCAAATGTTTGGTGATCATTATTTGATAAACGTTGTATCCATTGAGATGGAGACATTTTTGGTTATCTTTTAAGCCCTTTTTCCGTTATCTTTTCAGTCTTTTTTTTAAATAATGTATTTTCCATTAACTTTTCAGTCCAAAAAGTGAATTATTCAAGAACCGTGATCTTTTCGGGCTAATCACCGTTATCTTTTAAATCCTTGTCCAAGAAATTTACACAATTTGGTGATAAAAAATTTTTCTTTTTAGTGCTCATTGACCTTTTAGTTAAAAAAAATAGAAGTTTGGTAGTCATTTCATTCATAAAATGTTTAATACTGAAAAAAATAGGTATCACTTATTAATTATAGAAGAAATATAACTTTTGCGAGGCGTATAGTCTTCCATCTTCTTTTCTTTATGATGAAGAATAATCAGATAATGTAATATCTCGGAAACCTTTAAAGTGAAATTGCAACGGAAGAGGGATTGTTTATAAATATATTTTTATATTTAACTAAAGAATATTTGTTGTTCATTGACAAAAATGTTTAACAATGAAAAGCCAAGTTAATGGTGACTAAATAGAAGATTTGGCTTTTAATACTAAAGCTCTATTTTATTCCCAGGGATAAATATATTAGAGGAATTGTTTATTATGTTTCTCATTTCCCGCGAAACTGAAGCTAAAGCTGGGTTTTTGGTGTCATTTTTAGTCCCTTTTCTTTTCACACGTATCATGGTACGTTTGGACTAGTTTGATTGACTCTTTTTGGTAGCATCATTATCTATATTTAACGTTAAAAGCCATGAGAGCAGTCAAAAACTCGAAATTAAAAGTTTCCATCGGAAGTTGTCTTGTAACTTGCTCTTTACATCACTAGTCTAAGGGAGGTCTTCCATTTGACGAGAATTTTTCTAATGTGCTAAAATCTTTATCTGGATGATGATTACAGATGAAAATATAGACGCTTCTTAAAGATTAAAAACCCAAACAAAGTTTGTGTAATTGCACTATTATCACCAACCGTTGATACTTCTGGCGTGACAAATGTAGTCTCAATCTAAAAAAAGTGTTAAAAAAATGAGTTGTTTTCATAACATAACAATGAAACAAAAGAAAAATGAATACCTGGCAATTTTTTGATCAAAAATATTTTAACACGCTCCTTGTAAATTCATATAACCCAGAGGAATTAACTAATTGATTGACCGACATTCTAAATATCGAACATGTATAAACCAGCGATATAAGGCTGTATCGATCTTAGACTTAAAGCTCCACTATAAAGTCATCAGTGGTGGAATGCTTATTTGTTGCTCTGTTGTCGATTTGAAGGTTATTATTTTCGAAAACAATAAGAAGATAGCTAATATGCGTGTTCTGGATAGCCCGAAACGATACTGATACTTGCATTCTTTCAGGACGTACTATTTCACACCGTTTTACTCGTGGGTTTTCTACCTCATGTATATTTATTTTATTCTTCGGCTTTGTTTAGATAATTAATAAACATCGTCATCCTAATCGAAATCGTGTATTCAAAGAAATTGATATCTATTACCATTGTCGTGGTTGTGATAATATTTTGAATATAATTGATTTTCTTGAAGATGATGAGTCATTTTATCTTGTATTTCAAAAAATGGAAGGAGGTAAACACACTAGTTGATTGAAATGTTCTTGTTTTTATAAGACCATATTTTCTCCATTTTAGGACCATTACTCAAACATATAATGAATCGCGGTAGTTTAACTGAACGTGAAGCTAGTCTTATTGTACATGATATAGCTAATGCACTGAATTTCATACATGCAAAAGGCATGTCACACAGGTATGAATTCTATTACATCATTAGAAAACTGTCTAGTAAGATGGATCCTTTCGTTAATTTCAGAGATCTCAAACCAGAAAATATCTTAGTTGAACGTACTGATTCCGTTGTACCGGTTAAACTATGTGATTTTGACCTTGGCTCATCGATTAAATTAAATAGCAGTAAAACAACACCAATTACTACACCAGAATTATCAACACCCGTTGGTAGCGTAGAATTCATGGCGCCTGAAGTAGTCGATGCATGGACAAGCTTGGAAGGTTCACTACAAATGTATGATAAACGTTGTGATTTATGGAGTTTGGGTGTAATTATCTACATCATGCTTTCAGGTGAGACATTTTTTTTACAATAAATGGTTTATAAATCTTACACCGTTTATATTTTACAGGTTATCCGCCATTTTATGGATCATGTGGTCATTCTTGTGGATGGGCTCGTGGAGAAGAATGTGAAAAATGCCAGGTATAGAGATCTTTATCAAACCTTCTTTTAAAATATTTGAAAACTTTGTTTCTATTTGTAGAGTTTGCTATTCGAACGTATTCAAGAAGGTGTATATGAATTTCCAGTAAAAGAATGGCAAAATATATCAGAAGAAGCGAAAGATTTAATACGACATTTGCTTGGTATGTGGCCTTCGATACTATTAATTTCACCAAACTAAACATTATTTTTCTGTTCTAGTACGTGACGCATCTTCTCGATATACAGCGGCTAATGTATTAGAACACCCATGGGTTAAAAACAATCACACACTGAAAGATACTCCATTGAATACACCAAGCTTATTATTAAGGTAATTATTTTAACTTAAGCGCAGTATACTAATTCATTCTTGGAAACCAGCAATTTTTCATGAGCAGTCAGCTTAAGGTTCTTATTACAACTTTAACAAACATATGTGCTAGAAAGTAGTAGATTTCCACAGTTTACATCTAAACTAAGTTCATGTAGCCGAGTCACTAGTCGTACAAAACTGATTGTGTGTTGATCTGTACTACGATGAAATTTTTTAGCTTGTTTCTGGAAGAATAAAGCTTATGTCAACATGTTTATACTAATCTATACGTACCTTTTTTAATCACATTGCAAGCCCGATGTGAAATTAGATATGCAACGGTTAGAGTTAATCGTAACCGTAAATAACCGTTCGAACGGTTAGTCTTAACCGCTTTATAACAACTTAGTGTGTATACTTGGTTTTTAGTTCTTTGACATCTGTTTACATTAGAAGTAGACAAGGATGGTCTTTGTCCTGACGTTATAGTGCATCTGCTATAGTGACAGTTTCCACTACGTTGCACAAAAACGGCTGTTACGTGGCAGCATCGGCGAGTCAGAGTAATTTGACTTTTTTTAAATAAAATGTTTGACCTTTTCATTATGAATCTCAGCATTTCATCAAATGAATTTGAGTACCACACAGGTTTGAAGTGCATCTGTGTCACTATAGCAGAAGCACTAAAACGTCAGGGCAAAGACCATCCTTATCTACTTCTAATGTAAACATATCAAAGAACTAAAAACCAAATATACACTAAGGGTTATAAAGCGGTTATTTGCGGTTACGACTAATCGGTTATGACCGGTTCCGGTTAACGGTTAATAACGGTAACCGTTGCGTGCCTCTGTGAAATGTCATCATGAAGCTGAAAAGCAAATAAACTAGAGTCAGGTAGTATTATTAGGCTTTTTTTATTTCACGAATTAAGCTAACAATGAGTTAGGCTTCAAAAACAATCTAATCTTTGTTATTTCTTTATCCAACTCACCTTGAAAAACCTTTGTTAGTTACGTAGTACAGGTGATACATACGGTGTGGTTCTGCGTCATTCGAAACTTGTTTTTTTCATTATGGTGTGACTTAGTGAAAGTTTTCTTTTGTTAATTTCACTGTCGTTGTCAACATCAAAGACATAAAATAAATTGAACTTGAACTTGAAACGAAAATGTCCCGCGTTAATTGTTTCTCGTCTCTCTTTTAGACATGATAGTATTCGTAGATTAGAAACATTTACCAAGGATGCATTATCAATAACAAAAATGATTGAAGAACGTGAAAAAATGAATGATCGCTCATGGAATGAAAGTAGTTCAAGTCGTAATTCGAGTATTGATCGTCGTCAAAATCGTGAGAAAAATCGAAAACGTCGAAGCAAAATAAATAAAACAAATGCACTTAAAGGTTAGTGTCAGTTCTAGTTACTTCATTTTCTGACTGTAAAAAGAAAATGTTGAGAACCAATGCTAATGCAGCTTGTAGAAATGTTCACAAGTTCGAATGTTATTTTTATTTAGGTCACAAAGCTCTAGGACATAATAGTGATGAAGACGATGATGATATTCTAGAAACAGATTCATCTGTCACAAGAATATTAAAAAGACGAATGAAAAAGAAGCAGCAAAAACCTCAGGGAAAACAACGTTCAGATAAAAATGATGTGGATGATGACGAAAACTTCGATAGTTTACGACGTCGTTTATCATCTGCAACAATGACCACAAGCGGTGATGAAGAAATATTTGGTGATGGTTCTGATTTTCTAGCATGTAGTTTCAAAACCGTAGTTCATCGGCCCGCAAAATTAGTCGCAACAACAGTAATAGAAGGAAAAGAAGTTACTACTACTAGTCAACAAGGAGAAAAATTAGAAGAAACAAAAGAGCCAAGAGAGAATGAAATTGTTCCCGAACAAATTATCAATAAAGTATCACTTCCATCATTAACGCCTTCCTCTATTGAACATCATGCACAGTTTTATCTTGCTGATCCAAACACTGTTAATCATTCATTACCACAACATCCAAGCCATGTATTTTTAACAGGTTCAAATATTCCACCAATAAAATCAAATTTACCATTGCATCATCGTGCTCATACGGATACAGATCTTTTATATTATGGACAACAGTTTGGCGGTCGGTCAGTTGTTGCTCCACCTTCATTCTTACACTTGTATCAAATACAATCGACGTTACCGCTTCATCCACAAAATCCGTCAGTTCACCATCTGTCAAATATTCAGCAACAGTCACCATCTCATCATCTTACACCACATCAGCAACAGCAGTCATCACCATCAGCAACTGTTCCTTTGTTGTTTAATAATCCACATAACTTTCAAACTGCTCATCATCGATTTATAGTCAAACAAAATTCATCACATCCATTAAAAGACATACCACCACCACCACCACCACCACAACCATCTACATCTAATAACAGGGTATTTTTTGCTACAACTCCACCACTATCATATCCATATCATCATGTTTTACGTTCATCATCAGCTAACAATTGTTGTCGACGTTCATCATCCACAGCAGGCATCAATTTTATTAATCATCATCAGCGTCCAACAACATTGTTGCCAGAACGTGTATGGTAAGAGAGAGAAAAAAGATTCACATGAAGAAAAAGAAGGAAACAAGACATAGTTTGATTTTGTATTAACTAATTCAATTTTTTTCTATCAGCGTGAGTGTATGTTTCTTAACATTTTATAGCCCTATCAAAGTATAAACCCCGTGGTCATATGCACATATTAAAATTAACTAGAACAGATGTGTGTGTGATTTTGTCTCCTTTTTGTTACTTGTTTTTCACTTTTTTTGCCTATTGATTGATTCTTTACTTTTATAGGGACATGCGCGCTAACAAAAATCGACTCTTTTGTGAAAAAATCACACTAGCTAATCATTGTTGTTGTGTAGCATAGGATATTCATTTTCGTGTTGTTTTCTTTTTTTATTGTATTTTGATACTAGACCAGTGACTCTACACATGTTCATTGTTTGTTTGTATTTTTTTTTATCGGCTTATTTCTAATTGTTTTCCTTCGGCGATTAAGCAAAACGCACATCGAATAGGATCTGACAGCACTGTTTCTTCTCTTTTCTAGTAACTGTCCGTCTTATATAAAATTATGTCGTAATTCGTGTTTCTCTCTCTTTCTCTATTTTTTTTTTATTATTTTTTTCTTCTGCTATCGAACCAAGTAGTTAAAAAGGTAATTATCTTTCTAAAATTGAAAAAACAAAAAAAATTTTTTTTTTGTCTTCTTTTTTTTTTCTAATTTTGTTAACACATTCAGGGGGTTGGTGATGAATAATTAAGAAGTTCGAGTGAGGGACAGAGAGTGGTTGTGTGGAGTTGTTCGACGGTCCTCCTCCTTCTCATATCTTCTATCTTTTCTTCTCGTTTTCATTCCGACAAAAACTTTGTCTTGTTTTTTTTTCCACATGTTTTTTTATAAAAAAACAATAACAACACGTCGTTGTATCAGTCATTTTTCTTGTTTTTGTTTTGAAAAACACAAACACAATACAATGCATATGTAAATAAGTGCCATCATTGTTTTTGTTCACTTTTTCTTATCTGCCATTTTTAAAGTGTGTATATTTGGTTGTGCTTTCAAAGCATTTTTTTCGTCTATTTATTATTAGTCTTTGATCAGCTACACATTTGATTTAAGAATAAGAAAAACGCACACATGTTCAATTCTTTTTTTGTATATTCTATGTATTATTATTAGTTATTTGTTTTCTATTACACACTTTGTGTGTGTCAGCCATGCTCAATATTTTTCTTCTTGTAATGTATATAGTACAAACAATTTTGCGTTGGATGTCTGACACTACTAGTGTAAAAACTTAGCCCTTCGTCTTCTTCCTCATCCCAGAGCGAAACAACGATGTTGAGTGTCATCTATGTCCGGTTATTTTTCTAAGTGTTTGTTTCTATTTCACATTCATTTGTTTTCAGTTATACCGGTCAAGTTTTTTTGTTTTTTTTATTATTCTGTCGTTTCCATTATGAAACGTATTTTGTGAAGGAAAGTGGAGTGAGTATAATGACACAGCGGGGTGAATGTAATGACCGATTAGTAAAGAAATTTGACATGAGATGTGTTTAAAAAAAGGCGCGACATATAAATGGCTTCTTTTGGTTTGTTTGTTTTGTTCTCTTTTTTTTCGTTTGCCTCATTGTCAACAGTTTTACTTTTTTTGTACTACATTTGTCAAGCTCGAGTTATATATTATTTGTCTAGATGATGTTGATGATGAAAGAAACAACAAAATTTTTTAAAATAATAAAAGCAACAACAGCTAAATTTTGCTCGTACTGATGCTGATACTTGCAAGGTTCTTATTCACAAATTATAACGCAAATTCACGGTTTGTTAGTTATAATCAATGATGGCACTTCTTCACCCTTTTGGAGACCGGCGGAATTGGCCAATGTCCAGACATGGACACCCAATTAATAGCAATAGATTTTCTTTTGATGCAAATTGAATAGTTTTGTAAGTAACATTCACGGTTGCTGATCTAGTATTTACCATATTACGATTGTATGGTATTTCTGAACAAAATGAGACATCTCTAGGATTCCCACTACGTTTTTTCATCAAACTAGTCAGTTTATGCCTGCACGTATTTGGAACAATGGACATACAAGACATGTTGCTATATTTCTGTCTCTTTTGCAAAATTTGACGATCAGAGACCTTTTACAAACTGATTGTGACGATCTCTGAGATGTCTTATTTTGTCCAGAAATGTTAGCTCTATTTCACTTAGTTTATAAAGACTTTCCAGTCAAATTTAAAGACTTGTTACTTTAGGCTTTAAAAAAACTCATAAATAAAGATGGGCCAATGATTTTGTGTATATAGTTTTAAGAATAAAGTTAAATATAAGTTCACTTAATGTTTTATGATCTACAAGCACCATTACATCAAACTGGCATAACTCATTCAATACTATTCGTTTCTTCACACACAATAAATGACGAATGAAAAAAAATGACACGCTGGTTTTTCCTTTACGTGATCAGATTACATCTAAATTAATCATTGCATTGTCGGTTTTAGTATTTGCTAACAGTTCGTCTAATGTAAATTTATTCTTTTGAAACAAACCACTTTTCTTTGCGACAATCCCAGAATATGTCCAATATACTTCTAGATGGTAAGCAAATTGTCGGAGAAAATGTCCCTGTTCCTGCTTTGGAACTCATTTTTTTTTTATCCATCAAACTCAACAACGAGGGAATAGTCTCATCGCCAACTCATTATTTTTTAAAGTTCTATATAATAATTGAAATATTAACACGAACACACTGGAAACGATACACGAAAGAAGTGCAAACAAATTATCAGTTATACCACGAAAATGTTAATGGCTTCCTTTCAATCTTTTCCTCTTGCTTTTAATCAGCGCGACTTAAATAACTCTCCTCTTATAGTTGTTTCTTCTATTCGTTGCCTTGGTGTTCTTCTTTCGCACGATGTCATATGGTCTTCCCATGCTAAGAATATTGCTCTCAGCTGCAGGCGTAACCTTGGAGCTTACGGATGTTCAAATTCCTAGGTTTGAATAGCTTTCGGCTATTCAAATCTTTTTTCAGATTTGTTCTTGTTTTTATGCCCAGGCACAAAAAAATCGTTCAAACGCGAAACTCCCGTTTTTTTACCCGTTTTCACGCATTTTCTATGGGATACAATGCGTGTAAACGCGTTACATAACGTTTGTTCCATTTTCCGTTCTCACGCGTTTTTATTCCGTTTTTAACGGTTGAAAAACGCAACTAATCATACACCGTCTTGTTTTGAGGTCAGCTGAGTATATAAGCACAATCGAAATATCGAAGAAATATCCGCCTTTTCATTCTTTTTCAGTTTTAGACCATCAGTTTCATTTTGTGAAACTCCCTCCAAGAGTACGAAGAAGACGGAGTTCCAGTTATATACTCAAAAACCGCTGTTATCGTTGGTTTCTTCGAACCTACTTAAAATCTGATATCACTTTCGGTCACAACCCCTTAAACTGGCGATCACAACCACTTAGGTCGGTCGCAGCCTCGTACGTACCTGTCTGATATCGACTGATATCAGGGGAATGTTTTTTAGGTGGTCACAACTTCTTAAATGGTCGGTCAATCTGTTACGAGGACGGTCACAACCTCTTAAGAGGATGGCTATCTTTTTCAACCATTTTTTCTAAGATCAGTTTTTACGTTACAAGGTTTTCCAGTATTTTTGCATTGACTGGTTTTTTATCCTTGATTGATTTTTTTTAAAAAAAATAATGGACGATCCAATTATGAAGAGTGTCACACGAACAATGCGTTTTTTGAAAAACAGATAACAAGTGCGTTTTAGGACCAATTTTTGTGTGGCTGGGTGGTTGAGGAGAAAAATCAAAAATAAATCGTTTCTATAATTTTGTCCAGTACTGTCATAAAGCGTTGTGATTTATAATCGTTTATTATTTATGTAAAAATGGAAGCCGTTTTTGCCAATGGCCGTAGGATAGTGACCAACAAATGTTAGATTTTTTTTCATAAGAAGCGAAGCCAAGCTCTTTTTTCTAAGACTAAGACTGTTTTATTCACGAAAAGTGAGAGTCATCAAAGGTCACTAACCTGTAATAAATGACTGAAGCCAAACAACATAAAAAGAGTAATAAAAAAGAACAAAATTAATAAGACAACTAAGGTTAGAACCAGAAGTAGTAAAAAAGAACAAATTTTTGAAAAAAATAAAAATAAAAATAAAAAAGAAGTAAACAAAAAAGAACAAATATAAATTCTTAACTGACAAATGTTTCACTGAAAGAGATACTGACATAAAGATATTTTCTATCGTATTCCTACTCCAAATGAAGGAAAACAGAGTTGGTTCGATCTACAAAACTGAGAGGGATAAAAAAAGCTACGAATCCTAATGAAAAACATTTGTACAATTTCTACTTTATCCACTTAGCGTTGTGCGGACAAGTCTGATGAGAAATGCTGGAAGATTTTATTCGTTGAAAATATTCAAAGTTTTGTACTTGCCATATTGATGATAGTTACTGTGGTAACAGGAGCCATAATGTTTATATCGTTTGGTTTTTAAACTACGAATGCATAATGTATCGTTTATAATTGGTGAACTATCAGTAGCAGCGAATAACATACATATCAAAACAATGTATGCCCGTGCGTACTTTGTCTTGTCTTGTCTCTGTCACGTCGTAGAGATCAATCGAAAATAAATTTAAGAGCTAGTTCATCTAAGATATAGAAAAATTCAGATTCAAATATGTTACTGTGCAGTTTGAGCACACATTGGCTAGCTCCTCTTTTTCTTTTTATCACGAGTCCGATTTTATAAAATAAAGAAAATCACCGTATACAGCTTGTCCACGTAACTCGAGACTTCGCTGATCAAGTTTTTGAAAAAAATATTTTAGAGTAGAACTGATAGGATCATATCACTAAATGCAGTTTTTGACGCTGATTACGAATCTCATATTAGTTTTTGAAAAACGTTAAATTTTGGTACTAAAAATCCAGTTTTACATTTTTTGAAAACTGTATTTTCAGTTTCCTCACCTAGACACTTTTCCTAATAAAAATGGAAGACCATACTAATCGATAGAGAATTCGATTCTCTACAAGATGATATGTTTCTTTTGAAGTTTAGACTCCGAACAAGCTTTTTAATAAAGTTTTAAGTTTTAAGATTTTCACACAATTCTAAGAAAGTGAAAACATTTTTTCAGCTTTATTTTCACCTTAGTCTATATTAGATGTCTAAAGCTAAGTCTGATGTGAAAATGAAACCCTTTGAGCAATGTTTAGTGCTCCAAACTCTGTTGGGAAAAACGAGTGTCACAGCGTCACGACGATAAAACACAATTATTGAGGGATGGAAAGCTCTTTGGAAAGATTCTTTTTTAACAATCAGTAGCTCGTTTACTCCTCTACAAACTTTGCTCGAGACGCTTTTTATTAGCTCTTCTAAATTCGCAGCAAATTAGCTTTTAACGAGAAGCACTTCGAATTTAGGGCCTTTTTTTGTCACAGCGTCACGCGCCGAAAAACGCTTCTAAAAGTTTGAGTCCTTAACCACATACCTTCATTTTTATACCAAAAGTAGAGTATGGCGAGCTGCGTCGAATGGCGCAAGAATGACGGTTCTAGCTTATACACTTTTTGAGGAAAGCTCAAATTACTATGTCAAAAATGTCACAGCGTCACGCTTGGACAAGCCGATATAACAGAACATTGATGAAATTTGTTTTGTTTAATAATTGTTTTCCTTTACTTGGTTTATTTTAATTGTTCTTTTCATCCGTAGTAACTATCACTGGAACAGTTTGTATTTGCATATCACGATTAATGTTGACCTAAAATAAACGAGAAAATCTATTTATGATGATGAACCGTCGTTTTTTGGTTTCAATTTGTCTCAGATATGTTTCGTGTTTGTAAATAAATAAACGAAAACATTAGTGTTAGTAAAGTCAATTCAATCATTTCTGTTGTCTTTATTATATTTACATCTGAAGTCTTATATAACAAAGTGGGACGAAAAACTTTAGCTTGTATCAAAAAAATGAGTTGTTTAAAACTATAAGAAAATATTTTCAGATGCCATTGAAGAGAAAAAATTCTTTGACTCTTTGGCAGAAATATTCTTATCAACTTTAATAGCGTAGCGCTTCAAGACAAAAATGTGACAAAAACTTTAAAAAATAATTCTTTGACGATGAGACTCTTTTGTCATCTTCTTTGCTAATGCTTTTCGCAGACACTGAGAGTTTTTCATGACTTTTTTAGAGAAAGTTCGTCGAAGAGATAAAATAAATAATTGCTATTTTTTTAACATCCGTGTGATAATAGGTATACGATTATATTATGTTCCTCGTTCAAATTAAATTGTTCATTGGTTAAAGGACGATATTGTGCTAAGTTCTGATTTCTTTTAATCCCTAGAAAATTGTATATATTCGTTTTTTTTTTATTAAAGATAATTTAGTATGAGCGACATATCGTCTACAACAGCACCATTAACGTCAAATGATGAAGCCTTATTGATATTAGAATATTTAGAAACCGAAGAATTATCTAAAACATTTCTCTCTTTTCTTCAAGAAAGTCGCCATTTGAAAGATTTACAAAAAAAGCTATATCAAAGATATTATCAACAGCAACATTTATCTAAATACCCTCAAGTATTATCAATTGACGATGATAATTTCCAAGCATTTTTCAATAAAAGCTTAACATTATACAGTGATACATCGATTTCATTAGATAATTCATTAGAACAACAAAGACGTAAATTATTGCCGAGATTAACATGTGAGAGAAGTTGTCAAACAGTACAATGTAAAGGAATCCTTGATGACAGTGAACAGCCGAATTTTCTTCGACCGATTTCCCTTAACAGTCTCGCCTGTTCATTTTCGCCACCTCCATCGCCATTCATTAATTGTCAAAAAAATGACAATATAGAAAAAGAAATAAATGATCGAAAACGAAAAGAAATTGTTGATTTAACTACAACAGAAATAAACGAAAATATCAATATAAAAAAGCAAAAAGAGAGTCCAATAGAACAGATAGATGGTAAGAAAGAAAACTGATACGCTCTTATTTGATGAAGGACGCCCGAGTAAAAAATTACCTTGTCATTCAGTTAACACATGCATCTTATCTTCATTTTAGGACCAAAAGACCACAATAAAAGCCTTGCTGGTTTGTCTTCGCCATGTACAGTCATCAAAGAACAAGATAATCAAGATCAATCATCTTATAAGTTGTCTTTAACAACAGCAACAAAATCGATATCATCACCATCACTAATTGAGTCTTCAACTCTAAAGTATCAGTGTCGTCAATCCGAATCTTTCTCATCAAATTGTGAACATTATTCTTATCGTCAACGATCTGATTCGACTGAGATAGCATGTTTACATACACCTCAATCAGTCCACTATGAAGTATATGATGATTCTTTGATATCGATGTCTAATATAGCGTATGATCCGTTATATATGAATATGGAAGATGAGAATTGGAATACGAAAACCACTACCATTATTACCGAGTTGAAGAAAGATCCATTGACAGGAAAATATACTTTACCTGAACGTATAATTGAAACACCGATTAATCACTCAAATAAAATAATATCAGATATTTTATTGTCAACATCCCAATATCGGAACATCAAGGATGATAATCAATTACAACAAACGACTGATAACAATAATGAATGTAAGAGCTCGTTTATTGAGTATTTAATAGTTAGTTCTGTGTCTGTAATCCACGCTTATGCTACATTAGCCGAGATTAAAACCTTCTTGTAACCTAGGCGCAGCATTATTGTCGACATTCTATGACATTGTCTATTGTCCTGTGTTTCAGACGTTCAAAATCCATCGAGTACTCCAACTTTTTCACAGCTGATTTCATTAAACAGACAACAAGAAGATACCGATTATTCGGCGAGTTTGTCTGAAGTATCGATCGATGATCTGCTTAACAGTTCAGCAAATGATAATGACTTATCAAAAATACGGCAAGATGATAATCCTACGTCAGCAATATCATTAGATGATTTATTAGCCATGCCACAATCTTTACAAACATCTGAGACTAACCACTTATTATCACCCGTTTCAACGGTTTATTCACGTGCACATTTGCAACCAATGGAACTGCAGCAAGAAGAACAACAACTCATTCAATTACAATTTATTCAAACACCAATGTCTTCGCCTCCATTAACAAAAGTGATAATTGTTTCACATGATCTCTTGCAATCAATTATTAGTACTCAACAAATACCTAGTACATCGACTTCGTTTATTCTTCATAGTACTGCTACTCGAAAACGAAAGTCAAGATCAAAAACGGGAAAAGAAAATAAGACACTTAAAAAAAATCAAAATATTGTACCAAGAACGAGCTAGTAGTTCATTTTTTTTCACTTTTAATGAGAAAATCATCCAAGGTGGCCAACCGCTTTATCCTTGAAACGTACATGGGTATAGATAATTTTTTTATGCTGTTCACGAATCCGATATCCAGTTGTTCCCATATGGTGTTTCGGAGTTAGAAGTCTATCTTCACGTCTGAAGGTTTTTCCATGTATGTAACTGGACATACTCTAGAAGACAAACAGATTAAAATCTTTTCCTCTTACATTTTAAGATGAGCCTCCAGAGATCAGTTTTCGAAGATTCACTTCGAAACACCATATGGGCACGACTGGATATCAGATTCGTGATCAGTATAAAAAAATTATCTATACCATGTACGTTTCGAGGATAAAGCGGTTGGCCACCTTGGGTGGTTCCTTTGTAAGTCAAGTTCTAGTAGCACCAGAAGCATCTATTTTTTTATTATTTCTTTGTTTTGTCAGATATTGAAAGAGTAGTTTTACCCTCAAACTTATTAATCAGATAAATAGATATGTATTCTGCTTATTGTGTACTGCACATTAATTTTATTTTACTTGAACTGAAAATGATTGATTTGTTTGCTCAAGACTTTTATTGAAAACATAAATCTGTAGTTATTTTGAAGAATAATAAAGAAAAATGGATCTTTTTCTTGTTTAGACATAAAGCTTTCGTCCAATGACCCCGTTATCGGACTCGCTTTGAGCAGAAAAATATAAATAGTGGTATATTTTTAACTTTTAACAAGCAAAACATCGTTCTACACGAAATAGGACTGTAAAAGTTCCCATTGCGTTGATTTAACGCTAACTGCGTTTCCAGTTACCGTTGAAATAACGGTAACTATCAGTTAATTAACTTTGTGGTAACTATTTTTTAAGTATGACAGAAATATCCACGCAGCGGCTTAAAATGGTTTCCAAAATCGTTAGTTTTCCACTAAAACTGTTGAAATTTTCATAAATGACATGGTTTTGATTGGCACACACATGCCAGTCAACTAAACTAATCGAAATTATATAACTTCAATGTTTTGTAACTGCGGTTTTAAGGTCTCTAGAGAACTCAGCATTCACAGTCAGCTTGAGAAATCCTTTTGTTTTTATCAACGAAATTAGATTACAAAACCATGTCATTTATGAAAGTTGGAAAACTAACGATTTTGGAAGTCATTTTAAGCCGCTGCGTGGATATTTCTGTCATACTTAAACAATAGTTACCACAAAATTAACTAACTGATAGTTACCGTTATTTCAACGGTAACTGGAAAGATAGTTACCGTTGTTTTTAACGGTAACTGTATTTTCAGTTAGCGTTGTCGATAACGGCCGAAGAAGTAACGAGAACTTTTACAGTCCTAACACGAAAGAAAGATCCTAATAAAAAATTCACCGAAACTGAAGTATACTGATGCGATTTTTTTTCCTATCACCGAAGAAGATGTCCATACCATCTGTTTTTTATAGCGCATATAAAACAGTATACATTTATCAATCTTTAATCAAAATATGTTTTTCTTTGCTCAACGCTTGTTTAAATTTTTTCGTCTCAAATCAATTTCAATTCGATTTGATTTTAGATAATGGGCTATCTTTCTATCAATGGTCATTTTCAATAAAAACAAAGCCAATAACAACACATTAGACGATTCATCGTCAGAACAAAGGTCCAAGATAAAAAAGCAAGCATTCTCTAAACAGTTTTGGCGAATAAGCTTTATTTATTTATATTTTATATGTCAATATGGAACTATATGTACAAGAGTACGATCGTTAACCCTTTACGGCCGGGTGTTGACTACCGGTAACATCGATCTATTAAGTGTCGAAGAAATTTTGTTCTAAAAGAATACACTTTGCCGATCCCTGTCACAGCAAAACAATAAATATAAAGAGAGGAATATTTTTATTAGTTAATTTTTGGCAGCCGACAGAAAAGGAATATACACAGACGGGGATATTGTTACTAAATGGCTTATGCAGCCGGCCGTAAAGGGTTAAAGGAGGATATAGATACTTCTTCTGTATTTATCGATGTTTAAGCGTTACTCGGTCCTCAAAAATCTATAAGACTAAACAATTAGAGTTACGAGTGTATGATAGAGAAGGGATCGACGATAAGGGAGCTCAATAAAACCGTTGCTTTTCAGCATGGTCTGGTACTTTTTTAATCTATTCTAGAAGTCGATACATGGCTGGTAAACCGTGCTCCAGATGAATTGATGCAACATTACGATGAGGAATGAGTGTATAGAATAAGAGTTTTTATCACTTATTCATTGTAACCTTTTCTTCTTATACCAAGCTCTGTTAAAACATCCAGTGACAAAGGATCGTTTTTAACGTGTATATTCTACTAAGGAAAGCTCAAGGTTGAAATGTTCCTCCACCTTTCCAGTTAGTAAGTCACAGATTTTTTTACGTCTTTCTTATATTGATCTTCAGATTTTATTTCATGATGAGGATAGTATCAAAAATGTAATCATAAATGATGCTTGAACTGTCAGAGAGAGTTTGCCGAAAGTAAGTGTAAATGAATTGAAGTAAATGTCAGATGTAGTAGACTCGTTTTCTAACGCTGTAAGATTGTTTCGCATATGACATTGTTTGCTCTTTATAGTTCCAGTTTTATAGGATATGTATGTGTACGATGGTTCTTTTATTTATCAATGATGGACAACGTTCCTAGTGAAAGTACTCCTAATTCGTCCAAGAGTACTCATATTAGTAGGACTAACAATTTTTGAGTATTGTTACTCAGTGAGTTATTCATGTGAGTACTCAGAAAATATTCATTTATCGTTTTATTTTGCTAGACTGAAACTGTGTAAAGAACGTAGAATTTAGTGAAGAAACATAGAATATTTATATTATTATTCCCTCACTGGTCTCTTTGTATATAGTCAGGGATGGACTCGTCTGTGACTAGACTTGTAGTCCTACTCTGGCTGCCTGAGATCACTCTATGTGAAAATATCAGATGAACAATACTCATGAGTATTTTGCCAAAAGTTATATGAGTACACAGTGGGGAATTTTCAGTAGGCACGTGGACATTTGGTTTTAAACTGATCTATTTCACTCAAAACACCAGATTTATAGGTTTTCGCATGTTCTCTTTCCTCTGGAACACTTTTTCAGCCGATATAGTGCTCAGAAAATTGGTTTTCTAAGAATCTTGAGGATTTTGAAGGTTTTAAGGTGACAAATATGACTTTTTTTAAAGTTCCATAGGTTTTCGAGTACGCTGAGTCCGATTACGATATTTTCAGACCTCACCAACACTCTGAGAACGTTTTTAGAAAGACCTGGCCTCTAGAAAACAGCTTTCTCCCTCAAGTAAAAGGTTAAAAAAGGTCTTACAGCGTAAATAACGTCGCGCAACTCTCCTGACAGTGCCCACCACCACCCCTCATCCAGAAAAAAAACTGGACGAGTCACTGGCAGCAAATCTCTCCAAGTTCTAGAACAGTGTTAGGTCGAGGAACGGTCTCTCTCTCTTCTCTCTGTTAGAAGTCTTAGAAGTGTAGTTTTTACCAGTCAAACACCGTTCACAGCTTCAACTGTTCCAGCACTTGGGGAGATTTGCTGTGGAGACTTTGTCACTTCGAATAACTTTTTCGGTAACTCTAACCAAAACCCGTCTAAGTCTGAGCGAGGAGTGCCGGCCCTGATGGTAAGGCGGACAGTTCCTACGTCACAGACTCTCGACCTTAAAAGATATACAGATCGATACAGTTTCGCGCGCTGATTCCAAATATGTCCTTACTTTTGAGATGAAGTGCCGAAAAACCGCAAAAAAACCTTTCAAAAACCTTACGGATTTGAAATCCTTATAACTCCGGACCCTGAAGTTTGGGCATCTTTGGGCATACATACGTCGACGCGTCACATGTTGGAGAACATATCCTGAAAGTTTCATCTTGAACGGACTTTAGTTAAAATTAGCGCGCTTACTATACTGAACACTTCTCTCGTGCACGTGCATGCGAAAATTGTTTCGATAATAGAAGCAAACGGTCTTCGACAAAATTGTTCGCCGTTGAGTGCTGCATATGGTCCACTATTCGAATTTTCAAAAATGTCAATTTCGATTTTTCACCTAATGTCTACGTTGTTCCCCACTGTGGAGTACTCAACAATACCCAAGCGTATGACCACATATGTCCTACGTGTACTATAAAACTTCTCGTCGATTTTTATTCATACGGTCCTTTACTCTAGGTTGCTCTTGATTTAATTCAAATTTGAATCCATATCATGAATTTCAACGTTTTAAAGCTCATCCAGCTATTAAACCGATATTTGAGGATAGAAAAAAATGCAAAAAGCATATGCAGAGATTAGCAAGTGCTTTCAATAAAGAAAGCATTCGAGTATGAAAACGAAATAGCGAGAACGTGAATGACAATAAAAGAAAATGACATATGATAGTAAAGAAACGAAACTGACGAACTATAGAATAGACTGAAATTGAAAGTTCAGAATAATCTCTCTATAGAAATTTGTAGGTGTTCTTTTAAAATTGTGTGGGTTGGAGCAAGAACAAGAGAGGGAGACAGAGCGTTCTACTGTTTTGAGATGTTGATGAAGAATGATGGTCTGATGATTTTAGAGTATAATTAGATATGATAACACGTTTATTATGTCCAAAGCTCGGAGACTGACGAGTAGTGAGTGAACACAGTAAAGATGCTTGAAGCTTTGATACTTTTGTGAAATGTCAACTAAAACATCACAAATATGAGATTTATTTTCTCTAGGTCTTAAATCCATTCTGTTACGAAAATATTGTTAAAAGCAGTTGGCTATGAAAAGAGTTTTACATTATGCGCAATTTTCGTTCATTGTTCCATTCGCTATTGAATGTTTACGGAGGCACGTTTTATGAAACTCTAATTTTTTTCTCCATTAAATAGAAATTAGAAAAAAACCGCTTTCATTTCCGCACGGCAAAAGTATATGTATGGCGCCATTATTAGTTGTAATAGTGTTCTTGATTCTGTTTTTTACAGAGATTAATTCACCATACTTAGTGAACGTAAGTCAATCGTGTATTCAGAACTCTATAATAAAGTAACATTTCATTTATTAACATCCATTGCATTACGAACACATGATGAACCATCATATTTAACATTGAAAAATAATAACATAACAATGAGTATTGATTTATCAAAGTATGATGGTCTGAAATAAAGATATTGCTCTGCAGATAACCAGCACGATAGAAAATTTAGTCCAAAAAAACAAAATCGATGCTTTTAAATTAATAGTATTAGTGTTCGCTTCCAGTATGTAGTGTTGTTTTGTGCTTTGCTTCCCTTCTGTGCTGTCCTACTCTAACTCTCTCTCTCGAAATGAATAAGAACTTTAAGTTTGTCTGTTGAATGCAATGCGTTTATGAACTTATCGAGAACAAAGATTGTAATAGATGTTATTACATTCATTATAATTAAAGACGTTAGTAAAAATATAAACTGGATAAATGTCTGGGGAGAAGAAACATCGGCCTGAAATGGATGGAATTCTGTTATATATATTTTAATCGTTTGCAATACAACGAGCAAAATGACAGATTACTAACAGTCGACAACTGTCAACCTTTTTCAAATCTTGTAGAATGATTTGTTTGCAAATAGCCTATATCGGCAGTATAGCAAACCTATTTGAAATAGGTTTTGATACTGCCGAGTTAGTGTTATATATATATGATGGGTAAGTATTTTAAAGTTCTTCGTGTTATTCGTGACATTGTTTCTTTTTTTCACATTTTTACGATAAGAATAGTTGTCGATATGCAATTTGTGAAACAAATTTTTTATTTATATGTTTGTTCTTGAAATATAAAACTACAATAAGTTAAGTTTGTGTTCTCTTTATGATTAATCAAATTTTGATGACTATGCACTGTTTTTTCGATATTATTGTTTTCTATTTTCCTATAATGACACACTTATTGGAACAATTATGTTGTATAAAATATACGAAACGATTATTAGTAAAACGCATTCATGTGTTGAGAAAAGTTAGGCCCTTCTCTTTTTTGTTCGGACATCCATTTGAATTTTTTTCTTTCTACACATGAAAATAGCAGGAGATCAAAAATAATTTTAAAAATCAACAACTTGAAAATGTGTTCTCACGTGTAATAGATAATTTTAGTCTTTTCTGTATTTTTTCAATTCAATACAAGAGTTATGTTTACTTAAGCCGTTCTGCCACCTTTCTACTTGCATGCGGCAGTTAGTCAAATAAAAACAGTATTTACTTGCTTACTTTCAATAGACAAAATCTTTTTTCCACCATTATAGGCATAAAACTTATTGATACCTTTTCAGCGTGAGGTATATCTTACGACTCTTAAGTCATTAGTAGATTCTTATGTGACATAAGAATTGTTATTAGCATTTTTCATTTTCGCTTGAGACTTCTATGAATCAGTTGTAGTTAAGATTCATCTTTAATTTTAGAAAAAAATAAAAGACAAAAATGTCCAATCAGCATTTGTTAGAAACTGAGCCTGATCTACAAGAAGCTTATGAGTGTGCCAAGACCAACAATAATTGGTCAAAAGTATCAGCATCAATTATGATTCATCCAGATTGGCTTAATACCATACCACACAATAGAAGATGGAATATTCTCCATCAAATTGTCTACTCTGGTGATGTAATGCATTTAAACGAAGTATTAGTATTACAAGCAACAAATCCGTCGTTTCGTTTATTATGTCCAACAAAAGATAATAAAACAGCTTTGGACATAGCTCGTGAACGTAAAGAAGCAAATCCCACAATGCTACAAAAAATTGAACGTCTAAAAAAATTAGATGAATTACTAAACTATGCAAGAGAATGTAAATGGCCCTTATGCAAACAATTAATTGAAGAGGAGCCGAATATTGTTAACGAAAAACCGCCCTATAGACGATACTATCTTGCTCATCATCTAGCCTACGTCGGGCAATTGCAAATATTTTCAGAGTTCAGCGGCATTTGCCAATTTAAATTAGACTTATTAGGTACATCAAATTTAAGTAGCTATGAGAATAGAAACATTTGCAATATTGACTATTAAAAATTCTTTTATCATGTTTTTTAGCTGACAATAAAACCGTAAATGAAGTTGCAAGAGACAATAACCATCCAGATTTTGCCGAATATGTCGAGAGAATCAATCCTGAATTGGTAAATAAAAATCACAATAAAAATGAAAAAAAGTTAAATGACGATAGTCAAAATCCAATCCATCCATCTAATCCATCTAATACACATCTGGCAAGTACAGCAAGTCAATCGGCTAATAATACAGCTTCATCCACAGCATCTGCAGCGCCTTATCCCACTCATAATCAGCACAACTCACAATACGACGATTATATATCGATTAGTTTCTATCATCCCGCACATGGAATGCCTTCTCAGACGCATAGCATTCCTCCATATTCGAGTCCATCCTTTACCCTCGAACGTAATGAGGAGGGTAATTTAGTTTTGAACACAGACAATCCACTTCCTTATCCGTCATCTCATAATAGTCATCATCATCACCCTCCTTCCTCATACGGCTTCTCGCACGTTAATTATGAATATCCACCTTCATCGATAAATTCACACTCATTAACCAATTCGACAGCCTCGGCAGCATCAAATGCAACGGGAACTATGGAACCAAAACCTGATAAAAAGACAACAAAAGTTACTGAAAAGAAAGATCTTGTACAAATAACTGATGCAGAACAAGCAGCGTATGAAAAAACTATCCAGCAAAATCTACAACAAATGTCAACTCAAAATTTAACTAATTGTATTACCTGTTGTATATCAAAAGAAATTTTACGTGATCCTGGTAAGAGAAACATTATTTTTGCTTACGCATAGTTAAATAGCTTTCGGTTCAATTTTGTAAAACTCCTACTTATTATGAATAAATAAGGAGTGTAAGTTTAAATGTAGTAAAGTTACTATTTATCATCAATCCAAGTAATGTAGCATGCCCATTATAATAGTAACTTTGATCATCTAAACGTTTTCCTTTTAGACCGTAATAGTCTTGTTTTTTAGTTGTGGCAGCCGACGGATTTACGTATGAACGAGAAGAGATTTTAGAATGGTTTAAAGTTTCAAATAGGAGCCCAATGACAAATGAGGAACTAGAAAACTTAGACGTAAAACCAAATCATGCAATTAAACAGATTCTTTCTGCGTTAACAGAATCAGCTAATAAACCGAATAAAAATGGAGAAGATCATAATCATGATAAAGGAAATAAAAGTACATGAGTAGTAAAAGGTTTTTAACAAATTTTTAATGAACGTTATTTCAGTATTCATGTATACGATTATCGTTTGTTTTGCTTAGTTTTATGAGATATTTGTCATTCTTCAGCTATGTATAACATTTAATAAATCAAATATGTACATAGAAAGAGAAATCATGGCTGAACTATATTTCACATCACATTACAGTCAAAATTCCAACAAGTTATTGATTTACTGTTTAGTTTTGTTAAATCTTTAATACTATTTTCTTCTATTTTTTATTTTTTTGGCAAGTTATATTTCAGATGCTTTTATGAGAAGAGACGCACTACATTCCCAACATTATTCTTGCTTCATATATTAAGATTTTCGTCAATTATTATTTTCTAGTTATTGTCCTTACAATGTTCGTTTTAAAATTTAATTCAATGGATATATATTTCTCGTGCTTTATATATTTTTATGTATGTGTTTCACATGTTTGTTAAATATTTTATCAACAATACAGTTCATTTTATCTTTTATTTTTAAAAGATACTTGAATATATTAAATTCTTTTTAGGTGATAATCGAGAATGAAAGTGATGATATTTAATAATCCATTATCGAATTTAAGAATAAAAATAAACTGACTTCTCTTCTCACTCTGCATCTCACTTCTTAACTATTTTTGAAAATATATTAGGTTCAAATTTTACTTTAAAATTTTATCTCTTATTTGAATTGTATGTAAAATCGTCTCATAACAGCCATTTGTAAAAGGATGTGTCTTTTAGATGCATTGTACTTAATTCAAAGCTAACGTTTATTGTTTTTTTTGTTATTTTTATATCTGACTGTGTTGCTCATTAGTATACAGTTAACAACAAATCTATGACTTTTCTAAAGAGCTTACAAATTTTGAAGTAATATTAACGTATTCATTCGAAATGGTTAACTGTTTTGGACGGTCACATATGGACTATTATATATCAAGTTGAACCGATTGCTCGCAGAACAACGACGAATTTTAATTATTATTACAGTGAAACAATTGTAAAATTTTACCAGATATTATTAAATAGGAAGAAAACGATCATTGAAAAATATTACAAAAAGAAATGAACGTTAGTTTAATGAAATTAGATAAAATATTAAATTATATGAAGATTTTTAATGAAAAGATGTAGTTAAGAAGAATCATCATATTTAAGTCATTATTTAGCTTATGATGGAGAATTTGATGTATCAAATATTTTGAAGAAATATAAAGATAAATAATAAAATATTCAATCAAATTATACGTGAAAATACATATATATCGATCGATGTTTATTGAATCAACTATTAGCGTAAATTATTATTACTCAAATATGATTCAGCGAAAAGTATTTTTATTTGAAAATGACGATGAGAATATGAAGTATTCAAAATGTACACGAGTTACAACAATAACGTAATAGATATCAAACATGTATATTAATAAGCGAATGCTAGATCATTTAAATCAACAGTTGTAAACAACATCCTACTATATATTACTAGAAATCGGTCTGAAATAGTGTCTATATATATAGGTAAAATTGACAATTCAGAATATCAATAAGTTTACTCAAACGAAAGAATCGATTGTATTCATTAGGAAATACACGTATTAATCAAAATTTGAAAAAAAAATTTGAAAATTTAGGTAAGCACTTTATTTCAATATGTAGGGCGTCGCTATCGGATAAAAAATTGGCCTAACTTATTCATTTCTTGATCTAACTGCAAATTGTTTTTTGTGTTTATTAGCTAAACGTTCCAAGTTCTATTCCATTCCATTTACTCGAAATTTTTCTTAATAATTGAAAAAATGTTGTTTAAGTTTATTACAGTAAAATTTCGGTGTTTTCGAACTCGTATTTAATAAATTATATACGTTGTGAGTGGAACATAAATAATTTCTAATGTTAAAATAATGAAGTAGATGATGACAAAATAATTATTTGCTATTATTTAAAAATGATTGAATAGTGTAGATTTCTTCAGTCCTAGTTGTTCCATATCAAACATCTGAAAAAGTACAAAAATGTAATAAAATCTGTTTTCAGATAAAGTTAATCGATAAAAGGAAAAGTCACTGGTGTAGTTTCATACAAACAAAAGAGCCTTACAAAATGAAATAATTTAAAAGTCTGTAAAATGTTGTATCAGACTATAGTAGAAGCCAATGTCTTTTGACCAAATTTTAAGTTGAACAAAACATTTGAATATGTAGAATTGTAGAGCATTCCAAGTTCTACAAAATGAAACGTTTGACCACTCTCACAAAGATTTCATTCAGTAGCAACTAACTGAACAGTCTTTACATACTATTATAGGTACCTTTACAGAAAACATAGGCTACAAACTTTATTATTTTTTCCGCACTAACTTTTTTTTTTATACAAAAGTTTATATATATATGGAATAGAACTTCTTGGAACCTTTCTCTAATAAACATAAAAATCAATTTAAAGTTAGGTCAAAGAATGAGTGAGTTATGCAGATATTTTTTCATCCGATAGTAACTTTTGGTACCCGTTGTATTAACACTAGAACGACCGGAAATTTTCATGACCTAGAACGCCCAAAGCGGTCATTTTGACCGTTACTGTGTTTTTTAAAAATTTTATACTTAAAAATGGTTCTGAATGCAACAATGAATTAAAAATTCTGCAAAAAATAATTTTTGTGGGACAAATTAAAAGTTATGACATAATTTATTTTTAAATAAATTGTATGCAGTTTGTTTTATTAAGAATAAAAATCACAAAACGGTCAAAATGACCACTGCTAGGGGCGTTCTAGTGTTAATCATTCAGTTCATCGTAGTGTCAACATTTGAAGTTTCTAATTTCTTATTAAAGCTACTGGTGGCTTTGGAATCATAAAGGTAAAATGTTACACTAGAAGGAGATCAGAAGTGTCAATCAAAATTGGAGATGAATTAGATCACCTGTATGGATGTTTTCAAAAATTACTCAGTCGTTCTTTATACATAGAAACGTCGATTTATCGAAGTTTGATTGAACTCTGCATTGAAAAAATAAAATTTTAAAAGATAAAAACTTTAAAATAAAATTTTATTCTGAATTATATGCTGAACGCAATATGTAATTAACGAAGAAGTACTGTTACTAAATTATTTTTCATCTTTATTTATTTGTAAATGTTTTCTTTCTGTACGTTTTCGGTTTTTTTCCAGTAATGATAAAAAAGGTAGTTTATTTCCGTTATGATAATTTTTTATTCCGTCTGTTCATTGTAAAAAGATTTTTATAAATCGTTTTAGTATATTTTTGTTTTATAATTTACTTTTGTTTTTGTTAGAATAATAAAATAATTTAAATAACAATCTTTTATGCATTTGTTCTGTAAAATAAACAAAAATCTTTTAAATTAGTTTATTGGGTAACTTGGTAGTATCTAATTATGATTACATCTCTTTTCTTCAGAATCTTTAACAATGCATGAATATTAGAAATACAACTAAATATTAAAACGTTTTTTAATGTATATTTTTGTTGCTATTCATCTTTTTAAGATTATTTTATTTTTGTGTAAATGGCCACAAATCAAAACTTTGATGAAATATATAATTATGCAAAAAAGAATGAAAATTCTGATTTAATCTATAAATCATTATTACTTCAATCCGATGTTTTAAATTTCATACCAAAAAACGAGACATTCTCAATTTTACATCATATAGTCAATAATGCTAATGTTGATTTATTCAATAAAGTAATTGCTATACCAAATTTACGATTTATTTTATTAACAAAAACCTTGACAAAACCAGCAAAAGATATTCTCGATATATCAAGAGAAAATTCGACCAAAAGTAAACAACATGACATGATGTATAAAACAATTAAAAGATTAACTGAATTGGATAAATTTGTTGATTATGCAAAATGTAATCAAACAGAACAATGTAAACAGATGTTAAATCTAGGTGACAGTAATTTAGTAAATATGAAACCACCCTACAGTAATTCCACCATTTTTTGCTAATTCAAAACGTTCATTAACATGTGGATAAGGATTATCAACATTTTTTTCAAACCATTCATTCATTATTGTAATGGCTTCTTCTGGAAGATGTTTACTTGGTTTCATTCGACGATTTCGTGGTTGATGTTCACTGTTTATGAAGTTTGAGGATGGTATAGTTGATACTACATTCATGTATGGATGCGATTCCTTTCATGAAAAAAAAAAAAGAAGTAGAACAATGCGTTTAAAAAATCATCTGAATTTTTTCTCATACTATTAACTTCAATGATACAGTAAAATTTGAACTTGATAGATATGTTATCACTTATCCAAGTATTCTGAACAGAATCTGATAGACCTGACTGTTTTCTTTTTTGTCGTTATCCTAGTGAATGTACTTGAGGCCAAGTACTTGGATACTTGCAGAAAATTGCAAGTACTATGGACATTACTTGCGCAAGTACTTAACCTTAGAAATATCCATAGTTTGCGCGACACTTCCACAATCGAAATAAAGAAATTCCGCTACATTTTGACTGGGTCAAAAATACGTGACAAGTACTTGAATTTTTTGTGTGGCTTGGGACAAAATTGCAAGTACTACGGACATTACTTAGGCAAGTACTTGCGTCAAGTACATTCACTAGGGTAGTCAATGATTCTCAAAAGTTTCATCTCAATTTTCTTCTACTATAGATGCACACAAGTGAGATCTTCCTAGAAATTCCTTTATATTAACTCTATTTTAATGAAATGGAAACAATTGGAGATGTATGATCAAAATATGATTGAAAAGATTTCTTTCTAACTTACCATGATTAAAAGTGATAGTTTCTGAATACGTTCACTTTCTGAATGAATACTTTGATGACTAGTTCTCAATCTTTAATGACCTATAACCTTTTTTTTTTCGTTTCTCTAATAATAAAATATAATTTTATTTTTTAAACCAGCTGTTTAGTCTAAATTACAGAATATAGCCAATGTTGTTAATTAAACATGTTGCTAATTATTATTATTATTCTCATCTCGTATATTTTTATATTTTTGTTAAAAATCTATTAATAAATAATTTTTATATGCAGAATGAGAAAATTGATATACGTGTAATAGACGCGTGTGGAACTGATTGAATATTTTCTCGCTAACATATTTAGATACTATCCACAGGTTATTGAGTGTTCTACCTGTAGGAATTCATCGACAAATTGATGATTCTAATTTGTTACTAATGAACTGTATGTTACACTACCAATTCATATGGTACGTAAAAGAACAAAATTTTTAAACGAACATATTTTTCATACTTACTGATATCAGTGTGTTTTCTCAGGCAGACAAATTATCGTACTATGTCACATATTGAATTCACTCATTTTCTCTACAGAAAAAAAATTATTGAGTCATTTTAGAATCTTTTAAAGTAGATTTAATATTAAAAACGTTTTTTTACTTATGTAAAACTGAAATTGGACAAAATTAGTCAATATTTATCTTATTTTCGTCTGATCAAATGAATATACAAACCTCATTGTATCTCATTTTGTAAAGAAATACTGATTGGACAAGTCTAAACATTTATAACATATTTAGAACAAGTAGCTCTGGTGTTAGAATTTTTTCCATAATCTTCAAAAAAGAATTGGTGCTTAGAATAAATAAATTAGAATAAGTTAGAATCAAATTAGTCCTAATTAGGAAAAGAAAAATTCGTTACCGATAATCGGTGTAGGATGAAAAACAAAAAAATACATTAAAAATCAAACCTAAAATAAAAGCTAAATTTGATTCTTTCTCGTACGATCGTCATAGGAAACAGAATCAACAGTGTTATTTTGGGTTATCTTCGGGATCACACGAATCCGGCTCCACAAGTAGTCGATGTTTTATTTTCGAGTTTGTTCTCGCCCCTTTTGTGATCTCGTCGATCCTTTTTACTGTTGTTCCAGTGAAACACTAGAACTTGATTCCATTGTACGACACCATTGTTAAGTACACAATTTGACATGACTAACAATACACCGAGGAGAAAAAGTTTCGCCACACAAAGAGTTCGAGCAGTCATATTTTTCTCTTAAACTGTTAAATGAGCAGAACTTAATTGGTTTCTTGTCGTTATAGTTCTGTTTCGCTACTATAAGTGGACCAACAGATTCCGGTGACGTTATATGTTGCTCAGTCGTGCGTTAAAATTATCCATAATTATTATCATATCTCACCCCAGCGCTTTCTCTACAGTCTTTTTTATGGCTTTATAGTTCGATTTCTAAGACTTCTTCTTTGACATCCGAATGTATTTCAATCATCGTTTGGTATTTTTCTTTTAAAGTATTTAACCGAATTTTATCATATGTTTTTAGTACAACTAGTTCCTGCAATAGACAAAAGGAAACAATCGTAACGTGTCGCCAGAAAGAATATAAACCTTACTATATTGATTTTTATCTAATTTCGTAATTTTTTCTTGTAAATTCTTCAACAAATTCTAACTGAAACTCAAATCTATAACCAAAATGCAATCAACCAATCAAATAAGCGCATATTTCTAAAAGATGGTATCAGATGCAGAATCTGTCCATAGCGTGTAATATAGAAATTATGAGTTACGAAGAAAGTATTGATAGTATAGAATCCTGGGGAAAAAGATCCATTCTATGAACTAAGAGGTTGAGCTTTTTTTTAGTAGAATTGAGTTGGGTCCAGATATTTTCAACTACGATATATTTTTACTTTTGTTATTACAGCACATCGGAAGTTTTCGTTCTACAGACAGCGCCAAGACAGCAAGTGTCTTCTCAAAGTGGTTTTCTTTTTCGCTCTTATCAATGTAGCATGACAAAAGTACACTTTCAAAATTAACATTGTTAATATGTAATTTTTAAATTGTTTAAATGACTTTTTTATACATACTGTTGTAAACAGAAGCGAAAGATACAACTGGTAATAAAACAGAAGAAAAAAAACCGGAGACAAAAGAATTTCTTCTCAGAGTTGAAACGGAACTGCAGTCCGAAGAGTCGAATGAAACCTTTCCTCTTTCTACCCTGGCTACTCATATATAATCTTCCAAAGGGTCTAGTGTTGCTCAGTCGTGCGTTAAAATTATCCATAATTATTAT